CCATTATTTATTTGAAATGTTAAAAGGCCTTATTTGAGAGATCAAAACGATGAACAACAGAATGGCAATAAATACGTATTTATCAACAATTGAATCTAAAAAACAAACTAAGCAAACAAGTTCAGAGACAGAATCATGGATACAGAGAGTGTTTTGATGGTTGCTAGATGGGAGAAAGGTGTACCCCTACACCCTTGGGTGAAAAGGTAAGAGGATTAAAAAGTACAATAGGCAGTTACAGAATAGCCACGGGGATGTAAAGTACAGTGTAGGAAACGGAGTAGCCAAAGAACTTACACGCATGACCCATGGACCTGAACAACGGTGTGGGGAGTGCTAGGTAGAGGGGGGGAGAGGGGGTAAAATTGGAACTGTAATAGCACAATCAATAAAATATCATTTAAAATAAATAAATAGATTGCATTCTTTCTTGAGCTTAAAAATGTTTTGAACTAATATAGAAATGAAGAGCAGCAATATCCTGATACAGATCTCCATTCATTCAAATGAATAATTACAGGTCTCACATGTGTTTCCAGATAACTCCTCACATACTGCTCCTGTCACTTGAAATACTCTATCCACATTCTTCACCTGTAAGATTCCTAACTATCGCTTATAATATAGATCTTATGTTACCTTCTGCAGAAAACCCATTCTATGTTAATAGAATATAGAATGCATCTTATTTACGTCCTTTAGTCGGTCTGCAAGTTCCCTGAGAAAGAGACTATGTCTTTTATAGCGCAGCCCAGCAGAAGGCAGATGCTATCTATTCAATAATGTTTTGTGAATGAATACGTGAATGAAAAAATAAAGAATGCTACTGAAATAAATCAGGATAGCAATGATAAAGTTTTAACTAAGGGGATGGAATACACCTCTCACAGGGCTATACAAGTTCGCTTCTCACTGCTTTCCGTCTTTTCTTGCCAGACTCGGTTTGGCAATTATCATGTAGTCAGTAGGGAAAAAGAGAGAGCAAGCTATTCCGTGTGAGGAAGAAGTCAATTCAATTAACTCCCCTCCCCTGATACAGGTCCCAAATTCTCTACAAACAAAATACGCAGATACAGATGCTCTTAAGGAGAGAAGTTACCTATACAAAGGATAAATCTTTACACACACAAAAGGAGACACTAGACACTGAGAACGTATTTATTTCTCCTTGTAAAAAATGTATTTCTTTTTGTATTATGATTCACATTTCTTCCCACAATATGAGTAACTAATTCTGTAGTCAGGAAACAAAAACCGAGAAACAAAGATAAAATGTTAAAATCAAGGAAAGAGAAAGAGAAGCTGAAGAAGAAAATCACCCAGCAAGGGGCAGCAGGCAGGGATTTGAGAAGTGAGTTGACTCTGTAGCTTTGAGGAAGCCACTAGTCTTTATGAACCACGGTTTTCTCATCTCTAAAGTGAGGGGGATGAGCCCCAAGAGCCTGTTTTCAGAATGACAGGAAACTTAGATGTGTGACAATCATAGATTAATTCCTCTACAGATTTAACCATTCCATAAATACCTCTATACTTAAGAGTATCTGGAAATCTGGCTTATTGAAAGTAAATATATAGGGAATGGTAACTAAAATGAAGTCAGAATACCTGACTAAAGACACTAATTTTAAGTAAAAAGTATATTATTCTGCAGTATTCCCTACCTGAGAAAAGATCAGGTAGTTTATTCAACCTTAGGTATGGTCCAGAATGTACCTCTAAATTATAAAACACAAATCTAATTTTTTTAAGCAAAGGCTTTGGTTACTTAGTAATTTCTTTTTAAAATAATATTATCATAACAAGGTATAGCTAATTTTTATTAAATGCTTTCTACATGCCAGGCACCATTCTACATGCTTTTATAAAGATTATCTCATTGTAATTCCTATTTTACCAATAACATGAGAGGTATAAGTCATTTACCTAACTCATAACAAATAAGTGGAAAGCAGTTCTCAGAAGTGTAATATATCTGCTTTCAACAAACATTTATGGAATGCCTACTACACTCAAGCCAGGCAATATGCTAGACAATGATACTTCTTAGGAAATCACAGTACAGTAAAGAAAACACACATGGGCCCAGAACAGTAGATGATAACCCACAACAAGATGCATCACTGTGAATCTCAGAACCCTAAAGAGAAAAAGAAAGAAAAGAAAAGTAGAGAAGGTTCTATTAACTTAATTTTACAAAGGTGGGAGAGAGGGAATGTTATACAAAGGATCAAAAGTTGGAATGGCTTTGAATTTATTAATAGCAACATTGGAAATCAGAAATCAATGGAGTAATGCCTCCAAAATGAAGGCAAATAGTTTCAAGCCTAAAATTCTATACCCAACCAAACTAACAACCAAATGTGAGGGTAGAATAAAGATATTTTCAGACATGTAATGAAAAATATTTTCAGACACATCTGAAAAAGATTACATCTCATGTACCATTTCTCAGAAGCAGCACTCTAACAAAGGAAAAGGTAGGATCAAGGAAGCAGAAGAAATATCACTAGAGAGTTATACATAAGACAGAAGGGGCAACCCACCCACACTGAAGAAGCTTGACTCAAGAGATATCAGAGCAGGGGAGGACTGTCATCATCAAGATCGCTTTTGTAACAGTATTGGCCCTTTACCTTGGCAATGCCAAGGAAGTCTTCCCCACATTCATTTTTGGACATGGTTTGTTTGGGACATGTGCTATCGAAGTTCCTGCTTTCCCTTCAATGCAGGATGGGCTAAAAATCCTCATTGTGACCCAAAGAAAAATTCTGCTCTGCCCTATTTCTGAGGGCTGAGGCCACAATGAATTTACAAGCAAAAAAATATAGAACAGCCCACTGCCCCTGACCACGTTCCTTTCAGATATTCTGTGGGGACCTGGCCCATACTACAGACCTGCCAGATACTCTGAACATAAGCCCTATGTCTCCCAGGATTCAACTGCCCTCTGACTTCCCCACAAGGGGCCCTTATAAACTACCAGGAAAGTTAAAGCTAGATAATGATTCAAAGAAATCAGCTTTTCTTTTCCAGAAATATGTTATCTATGAAGGATAATAATGCCTTTTTTTACACAGGCAGGTTCATACTGCTATTCAGCTTTTATATTTGGCACTTACAACATCACTTTGTACATTAATATATAAATGTATATAAATAAAGCAATTTCATAGTTGTTTGTTAAAAAATAAACAAGAGAAGGGAAAGTTCTATAATGGAAACATGTGCTGACAAAACAGAGTATAAATGATACCAACAGTGGTGAAAGTTTTTGTACCAATGTGGGCCCTGGAAGCTCAACTGCAAATGGAAAGAATGTCCTTTGCTGAATGTCTTTAGATGAGCCAGCTTCAGAAATTTAAGCATGCCTGGTTCATAGAAAAATTACTTCCAGTTATATTAAACAGCTACTCAGTGACTTTATTTACATGCCCAATTCAAGCATTCTCAATTATTCTCAAATCAACCATGGGCCAATATAAAAACACTCAATTTTATCTCATGGAGTTTGTATAACATAAAATACATTTCAGAGTATTTTTCTTGATTTGTGGAAGAATTTCCTAGCTCAACAGCTGCAGAAAGTTTTTCACTGCAGTTCTAGGGGTATTGTTTTGTTTTTTAGTTACATTCTATCTCTGCTTATGATGGAAATGAGAGACTTCAGTACAAGTTTGGCATGGGCCTTTAAGGAGACAAAGTAAAGGTTAAATCCTTAAAGAACAGTATGAACCTAGTGCTGGTAGACACAGTTCTGTTTGAATCAACAGTCGTTCACAGAAGGAACAACTATTGCAAATTACTAGAACTACTAGTACTATATCCTACAAATAATTTTATTTAGGCAGAGGGTAATTACACGTCTTCTAGTATGCACTGACTAACTCAACCCAATCTATAGAGTTTGCAGTTGTTAAAGGATGCCGTCCCTCTATTTCTCATAATATAAGTCATCTTGGGAAAAGAACCAACTAACATGGTTTAAACACATTGCACTCAAGACTTTCTGTCCATGACCTGGCCCCTATGTAGCTCTCCACATTCATCTGTTACTCTGTTCCTCACTTTCTACACTCAGCCAGGCTAGAGGGCCCTTAGTTCCTCTGATGCCACTTTCTCAACACCAGGCCCTTCTCTCTCCACTTCGCTTGCCCATTTTACCCTTCAGGTCTCAGCTTAGGCATTAGCTCTCCAGAGAGGACTTCCTACGTGCACCCCCACGGCATCTTCTATTTCCTGTTGCATGACACTCATCACATCCAACTGTTAGCTCCACAGGGCAAGGGTCGTGCCCACCTATTCATGGCTGGATCCATATCATCTGGTATAGCACCTACAATACTTGTTAAACTGGACTAAAGTTTTTATCACTTGATTTTAAGGTAGATACTTGTCATTTTAAGTAATTGGCCTGGGAAATAATTCACATTTTCTGAAGTAAATATTTGACTTTTAAACTTTCCTCCCTCTTCCATGTCCTCACACTTTCCTTTACTTCCTTCAAAGTTAAATTTACTGGTTTTCTTTTAGGCTGGAAGAAAATGTCAGATTCACCGTCTAATTGTTTCAACAATATTGGGACTTTATTCTCTTTTACTCTCAACTATATTATAGGTACTCTCAAATTATAAGTACATATCATAATTATCCTATACTTACAATATTGATAGAACCATCCACTCAACAAATATTTACTATGAACCTCCTACATTTAGATCAAATACTAATTGTATAGTACATAAAGTTATTGAGCTATGCTTGCTAATCAGGACATCATAGCTCTGTATTTTCCCTGTCTTAAAAATAAGCAGTAAATACTTTCATGGTGAAAGAACATATTGGCAATGATTCTTTTCTTTAAAATGTTCCTTCTAGAGCTAGAGAAACAACAATAACTCTAAGTGCATTGTGTCTTGGAGAGGCGGGCATAAATACATTCTTAAAAACAAAAGAATTAAAGCATTTTTTTCAGCCTCTTAAATTACCAGCAGTCTCCTCACCTTGCAGGTTTCATTATCCCAAATGGCCAGACCAAAGTAGTCTTCTTCCAAAAGATTGAGGTGTTCACATACTCGTTTAAGCAAATCTTGTCCCTTTGCATGTTTCTGCAAAGATATGCATACTTTAGTTGAGGTTTCCTTTTATTCCTGTATTTTTTACCAAATAAAATAAATTTCATTTTCTAATTTCCTCTTTTATCTTTGGTTACTAACACTTTCAAAGGTGAGTAACAAAAATCTTATTTTATTATTTGTAAATAAATATATAACACACAGTGGCTTGGAAACGGTGCTATAATTCAAAGCAAAATTCCACCTTCCCTCCATCTACTGCCACACCCTCACTTCCATCCTGAACATGACATTCTTTATTGTCTGGTGCAGTATTTCCTGCAGCTCGCTATGCGCTGCTGCGGATCGTCATGACCACCTGCACTAACTGAATCAACTGTTGACACTGACGGTTATTAATGGCTTTGGAAACCATTATACTGTCATTCTCAGACCAGATTTCCCAGGAGAATGAACTATATCTCAAGTCTGTTCAACCTCTTTCAGAAAAATGCATAAAATGTGAAAGTCTAGATACCCTGCCCCATATTAACTACCGCAGTTGCTTTTTTAGTTGTGCCACAAATCATTTTCTTAATGTCCCTTCACCTAGAAAATAAAGCACTACGAAATGTGGGTACCTGCACTCCTGCTTATAGAGAGAAAATGCCCTAACTTAGGAGCTAAAATTTGCAGACATAAAATCCTGGCTCATCCACACACCAGCTAAACAGCCTGAGTCCGTTCAATCACTACTTCTGAACATCAGCTCTCATATTTACACCTGTCCTACCTATATGGACTGGAATACCTGACAAAAAACCAAATACACTAGTCAATGCCTTCTGAGAAACACTTTTTAAATGTAAAAAAAATAGAAATAATCTTTTGGAACACATATGATACACGACATGTCCTTTTCTCCATAAGCTGAGTTGTTTTTAATAACTATTAGTAATTCACATGGATACCAATTAACTTTCAGACTTAACTCATTTATATTACATCATTTTCTCACCTATATTTTCACTCTAAGTGACAGAGATGATTTGGGAACTCGGCACGTATAGGTCCCTACTCCCTTGTGTATAATTCCAAATCGAGAAGTTAAGTGATGCCTATTTTTGTCAAAGCTCATTTGAAAGCACATTCTGAACTGTTATGGGGCCTTTTTTGATCTCTTATTTATCAGCTTAATATTTTACCAAAAAAATAATGTGTTTGACCAAACAATGTCTGACTGCTATATATACGTTCTACTAGGTGTAGTATGAAACATGCAGAACATGTACTTACAGCTGTTCTAAAACCCAAAATATTCTGAATTCTCAAACACATCTGCCTCCAAATATTTCAGATACAAGGGGCCCATATCTGGATCTTGGTCCGAATGGGAAGAACAAGCATAGAATAGCTTTCCTCATCTCTAAACGAACTAGTGATGAGAACTAGTGGAGAACCCGGGCATCCCATAGGCCCATAGGTCTTCTCTAGTTACCCTTAGACTAGCTATTTTCAAAGTTTAATAGTTTATTTTTCTGGATTTATTTTTCAAAATTTAGAGAAGGAATACCTATTAATAAATATAATATTTTAGACTATTTATGCTTTGATATATTTGCATTTGCTCAGAAATAATTCAATTCAGAAATAATTTGTCACTAAACCAAAGATATAAATATATATGAATTGTCTTATTAATAAAAGCTATTATTAACAATGATCACAACAATTGCTTTATACCAAGCATATAATTGACAATTACTGCTCTAGTTAAAAAAACACCTAACAGGTTTTAAAGGATTTTAACTTGTCTTGAGGGAGCAAAGAATAACTAAATAATATATTTTTATTCAATCGTGATTCAATTCCTTATTCTTTCAGAAAATAATAGAGAATTTTAAGAAATGGCATTACTTGAACTAAAATTTTTTATATACTATTTCATGGGGATAAAGAAATACATTAAGTAAACTGAAGCTTATTAAGGTTTAGAGAAGACAGCAAAAATGAACAGATAGTCATTTTTTTTGACAAATACAATTACAGGGATAGCTGCATCTAATATCAGAAATTGAGGCTATCCTAGGAAACTTGTCATGGTAGGTTACTCTATAAATAACAAACCTATTTTTTTAAACAAAATTGTTTTGAATCATAAAAGTAACACAGGCTCAATTCACAAGATTTGACAGATGCAGAAAAAAATAGAAGAAAACAGACTCACTCACAATCCTTCCACACCTCTACCTCCAGAAGCATCACTGTTAGCATTTCAGACCTTAGAAATGGTCATTGCACTGGGTCTTATCTCAGGCCTCGGCACCACTCACCCAACCCTACATGAAGTAAGTTGTAAGACTTCTAACCACTGAAACTGAAAGAGCACTTACTTCCACAACACATTCGTAAACTGTGTCATCCAACAAAGAAACCTTGCAATGCATGTTTCTGTGTCTTCTGATGGATTTATGGGAAGCTTTTGTTTCTCTTTCGGCTTTTGATTCAGGACTTTCTTCTTTCACTTCTATTTTAGAGCACTCTTCAACTCCTTCTTCCTTAGTTTCAAAATCTGGATCTTCTCTCTGTTCTTCCTGAGCAGGCTACATAGACATGACACCACCAAGTCAATAATACAAACATTTTACAAAACATTCTGTATACACTTCTACCTATAATAATGCTCCCAATAAAAGCACTAACTGAAGAAGAAAAATTGTTGAAACACATATAAGTGATATTAAGATTATTTTTCTATAAAAGGTATTGCAGTCTCCCAAAAGATCTACAGACTATATGCTTAAAACTTCATAGTAGAAGGTAGAATCCCATCTTTCAAATCAATAAATGAAAGTTTCAAGTAAACTAGAGGACAAAAATCTGTTGCTCTCAGCATTATATATTCCTGACTATGCCATTATATATTTTTAAAGTCTATCAGAACTTCAACATCTCTGCACCATGCTCCTCAATTTTAGCAAGGAGGCCTAATGAATTTAAAATGAGATGTGATTTGTCACATATTCTAAATTTTATGAATGTATAAGAGAAGTTTGGGGACCAATTTTAGAGCATAAAGCAACATATATAGTAGGCTAACAACTGTAACTACCAATTAACTGATACTAGGTATCAATCATGATAAATGCAAAGATCCAAAGAAGCAATAGACAGACTGAAACCTGGGTCTCCTAGGGCCTAAACTGTTATGGGGCTATTTCTAATCTTTATCCATCTTAGAATGAACCTTCATATATTTTACATTTACATCCCAAAGTTATACCGGTAAGGGGAATGACATTTTGGCGGACTTTTACTTCCAGCAAAACAAAATTGCTGAAAGATTCTTAACTAGACCTCACTAATTCTTTTCTTTCAAAAGAATACATGACTTGACATTTAGAAAAAAGGATTTCATTACATGACTCCCGCATTAAATTTTGGAAGAGGTCTAAAAGGCTCCTTTCCAACCCTCATGACCCTCTTAGAATGCAAACCCCTCTTCGGAGGGGTCTTCACTGGCTATCCTGTATGTCCTATTCTTCACGTCAGCACCCTGTGTTCTGCCTTCATAACATTTAATATGATAAATAACTATTTTGTATTTACTACTTTCTTGTCTCCTCTGTTAGTGTCATCAAGAGTAGGGAATCCTGTTTGATTTATAAAAATAAAGCAAACATTTACATAACAATTACAATAGGCCACTTATTGTAAAAGCATTATTCATATGAACATATTTTATCCTCATAATAACCTCCAGAAAGGATGCTACTATTATTCCCATTTGATGGATAAGAAGATGGGGCCAGAGAAGGTCAAGTAACTTGCCTAAGATCATAGTTAATAAGTCACATGTCAGTCTGGCTCCAAAATTCCTAATCTCAAACCTCTTCACCATATTTTAGTTTTTACTTAACCACTGAATATTCAACTTAGGGCCTGGTACACATAGTAGGTTTTCAATAAACATTTGTTTCATGCATAAACAAATATTAAAAGCTGATACATGGCTTCCAAAAACATCCAAGGCATTCTAGGTGAAAACTATAAGGCAAACTCACTTTTTAAAAAAATCCTGGATAGAAAAGGCCCACTGAAATAAAATTCTCCTACAACCTTTACACACAAGGTTCTGATCCAAAAGGTTTTGACTTGAAACACTAGCTTCCAAAAAAGCCCCGAAATAGTTTTTTCCTTTAAACAATATCCCCTTAAAATTTTGTTGTTATTTGTTTCTTTTTCTTTACATGTAGACAAATACCTGCACACAATTTATCCCAACTCAGAATTAAAGAAGATTCAATGAATGAGATTTTAGTTAAATCCAGAATTGTGTCCTTCATCTGTTTTGGCTTTAGCACAAATGTTATGATCTTTAGACAAAATAAACCAACTCTGAGTCAAATGCTAACTAAAATGAGAGACGGATTTTTTCCCTACATAAAGCAGAGGACCAAAAAAAAAACAGTTCAAAACTTCCTAAAAGTACCAGGCATCCTAAAAGATGATATAATTTAGCTCTTTTGGTATTCTTTTTCAAAAAAAACCTTTTTTTAAGATTTTATTTGTTTGTTTGCTTATTATTTTTAGAGAGGGGAAGGGAAGGAGAAAGAGACGGAGAGAAACATCAATGTGTGAAAACATCGCATGCCCCCCACTGGGGACCTGGCCTGCAACCCAGGCATGTGCTTTGACTGGGAATCGAACTGGCAACCCTTTGGTTCACAGTCCAGCACTCAATCCACTGAGCCACACCAGCCAGGGCTCTTTGGTATTCTTAAAATAAAATTAATGATATTAAAATATGTAGAGTTTCTTTGCCTTTACTGTTCATGTTTATTAAATGAATAACAGCTAACATTTATTGATGTTACTATATGCCGGGCAATGCCTTAAGAGCTTTACATGTTATCTCTTTACTCCTCCTAATTACCAAATGAGGCGAATACTGTTATCCTCACTGCAGAGGAAGAAACAGATAAAGCCAGTGTCACTTCTCTATGATTTGAACCCTCTAGTCTGATTGCAAAGCCTGCATCCTTATCTGTTACACTGTGTAGTAAATCTTGCTTTCAATCTTGTTTCACTAATAGCAAGAATGTAACTACAACTTTATCCTAAATTTTCCTCTTAGCACCTTTAAAATACAATATTTCTAGAAATACATGTAATACCTTCAGGAAATTCTAATAAAATTGTACAGCCCAAACCTGAAACCTCTAATAGAAATATATAGGACTTATACTTTTACTATGCAGATAATGCTCCCATGCTTCAGGAATAAAGACTGAAAATTTCGCCACATTTTTTGGACAGATGGACAAATTCACAGCTCGTGTTTAACTACACTGTAACACAGTTAAGGCTTCAAGTTACTGTATATTACAATGGTGATATAAAGAGCTAGACGTCCTCATCTGTCTCTTCCATTCTGGGATAATACAGTCTAGCTGGAGAGCAAGACAAAAATAAGACAGGCACGGCTCAAATCTCTCACATGCCTCTGGGTGCCTGAATCCATCACATGGCTTGTATGAGACTTCCATAAAAGAATCATGTCTGCTGATAACTATCCCATGCCTAATAACTCCAACAAAATGAACTTAAACCACCTGAATTCTTTTTTCCTTTTTATTAAAAGTATGGACTCATTCCACTATTACAGTAAAATGATATATAGGCTGAATAAAACCATTTGATAAATTCTTTTTTCACTTTCTTGTCTTTGATTTATACTAGATAAATATCTTTTTAAAAATCAAGTTTCCATTTACATTAATTGTTTTATTTTTTAATTTTTATTTTTCAATTACAGTTTATACTCGGTATTATTTTTGCATTAGTTTCAGGTGTACGGCATAGTGATTAGACAATTATATACTTTACAAAGGGATCCCCTTGATATTTCAAGTACTCACCTGGTACCATGCACAGTTATTACATTATCGCATATAAATATACAATATATTCCCTATGCTGTACTTTACCTCCCTATGACCACATTAATTTCTTTAGAGCAGAAACTCCAAACCTTCATGTTACTTCTCACTATCAATGCCAAGTCAACTGGCTAGTAAGAAACAAAACCAGACGTTCTTACCTGAAGAGTAAGGTGTGTAACCTACCTTCATTGTACCCTCCTCCCGTACATCTGCATATCCTCACCTGTGTTTCTGCACTGCTTAATGAGTGAAGATCCAAGGATGGGTCTGTTTTGAGTTCAGGTTCAGGAGCTGCAATTGGGGCCTTTAAAATGATCTCTTCATCAAGACTGGTGGCCAATTCTGTTTCTTTCTGACCTCCTTCACCTTTCTCTTTGGCTGACTCTACTTCTTTGCCTTCTTCCTCAGAGACCTGCGATTTAGGCCTCTTGAGAAATGAGGAGAAGAGCCGTGACAGGCCCCTGTTTTCCGACGTCCGCTCCCTGTTCTTGGTCAAGTCCTCGCGGGTGGGAGTGTCTCCATTAGACGTTTTCAGCTTCTGCTCACACTGATTTTCTCCCTCGGCTGCTGCTTGAGAAGCCTCTTCCAGCTGAGCCTCTTGCTGGCCTGAGTTCGTAACCCCCTCGCCCTCGTCCTTCTGTTGTTGGTGTTGTGAATTGTCAGTCTCGGCCACTAAACTCTTCTCTGTTGTCATGATGGTGCTAATAAAAAGAAGTTGGAAAAGGAGGCCTTATAAGCAAAACACATGACTGTAGGCAAAACCCCAAATCAGGTCAAGGGTGCCAAAATTACTATATTTAGGTATTTAATCACCAAAAGACAATACTCCAGTCCATTAAACATGAGGCTTTCCATTAAAGCACAGAAATTATTTACCTACACATCCTGAATAAATTATTAATACCTTGACTTGCTAAAGATATGCACTAGAGAAATTGGCTTAAAATAGAATCCCCTGAGGTCACCTTAGTGAAATGGATCCTATTTTAAATTCAACGCTCAGAACTGTACATAGCAAATACAGTTTTATCCTGCATTAAAAAAAAAGGATATTTGTATAATGTCATCTGAGGGTGCAAGGTATGCAGGAATTACTCCTTTTACCCCAAAAAATAATGATATTAAAGGTTCTCCAACCCTTTATTGTTTTCCCCTATATTTCTTAGAATGCATAGACTTCTTTCTATATTAAAAACAGAAAATTCAGAATTCTGATCATTTATGAAACTTGACCATAGCAATGGCAAGTATATAGTTAAAAGAATCACAAAAAAATTCTTACATTTTCATCTTCCAATACTAAAATTACAGGCTTTTGCGAAGTACCCTACTTTATTTTTTTAAGTTTATTTATGTGTTTATTTACTTATTTATAGGAGATCGAACGGAGAAAGAGAGAGAGAAACATCGATGCAAGAGAGAAACAGCGACTGGCTGCCTCTCACACGTGCCCTGACTGGGGCCCAAATCTGCAACCAGCAACGTGCCAGGACCAGGAACCCAACCAGCACCCTTTCACTTCATGAGATCACACAACCAAACGAGCCACACCAGTCAGGGCCCACTTTCAGTTCTTTAAGACCTTTTTTCTTCTAATAAATACAATTTTGAATGCTCAGCATTTTTAAGTGTAGGCACTTAAACTCTTACAGTGTAGAGAAATAATGGAGAAAAACAAAGAAACAAAAGAGAAGAAAACGTAGTAGGCAAACAAGGCAATTGTAGGACAGAAGAAGGTAGGCTGTAGACCTCACGTATTTCAAACCTGCTGGTTTCTAGCCTCTTGATCTCAAAACAAAACAGCCAAAGAGTATTGTCACACCTCGTTTACTAAAGAACAACCAACACGCAAGGGAACTTCTGAGACACTAGCCAATGAAGCTGACTACTGGTGACCTTACTTTGATTCACTGTTCAACTTGGAAGGACTCCATGAGAAAAGCAGCATTGACATTGTCTTTACAACTGCTCCACACTATTTAGAGGAAGTAATTTTGTTCAGATGTTAACAATCCAAGTTAATTAATTATATTTAGCCCATTCCCTTCTCAGGCCTTTGCACTTGCTGGTCTCTCCACTTAAGATGTCCTCCTCCCAGCTGTTAGAAAGCTGCTCCTTTTCTCATCAGCGCCATCTCTGCTCAGCTGTCACTTCCTTAGAAAGGTCTCCCACACACACCCTGTCCAAAGTGGTGGCCCTTACTCCTCCAGATGGCCTCACACCACTGCTGCACTTATTACAATCTACAATTATCCTGCTAACTTAATTGTTTCCTCGTTTACTGTCCTCTCCCTTTCTCTCTCCCCAGCTAAAATGTAAGTTCCAAGGCAAACGAAGACCCGGCACATTACAGGTCTTCATTAAAGTTTGGTGAATGAGTGAATTTCAGCGGAATATACCTGACAAATACAAACTGCAAAGGCATTCTCTATTTATTTAAGTAAATTTACTCAAATGCATGATACTCATTCATTCAACAGATCCTTATCAAGCACCTAGCACAGGCCCTCTATCGGGTGCTCGGAGTACAACAGTGAACAAAACAAGACAAATAAGGTCTATGCCATGATGGAGCTTATATTCTTGATTCAACTTTAACCAGTGTGCAAAAATTCAAGAGAAATCTTACTTACAATATGAGCAAAATCTAAATGATTGTGTATAAATGAAACAAAGCAATAAAAAGAGAAAGAAATTAATTTTTTAAGCACTAGTTCTGTGTCAGGTCCCGTATAAGGGGCATTATCTACATTATATCAAATTAGCCTTTCAAGAAGCCTGAATTCAGGGGAAAGAGGAATCACTAATATTACAGTTGAAAACTCTGAAACTCAGAAAGTAACTTGCCCAAGGTCGCACTGCTACTAGGTGGCAAACCAACGACTTTGAGTGGTACCGAAATAATAAAGATATATGAAAAGGAAAAGCCTTTGTGTTGGCCCTTACTACTAATCTACTCAAATTATTTTCAGTGTTAAAAATATTTTAAGTAATAAAAATTTTTATTGAGGCACATTTTTAAACCTCATTGACTAGTCATCAAACTTACTCTGCACTAATAAAATAAACAATCCAGTCTTTATAAACACTACTGAAAATATTTACCACCCAATATACATTATTAATTTGTTAGCGCTAAGGGAGGTATACTCATATTTAAATTAAAAAATAAAATAAAATTACCTCCAATTCCTCCTTACATTAGAAGTAGGCAATTGATTTTTCCAGAATTCTTTTTCTTTAATCTCTAAGTAATCAAATGTGACCCCGAAAGAAAATCTAGATATTAAATCATCAGTTATTCTAAAAGAGTAATGATTTGATTTGAGAGCACCAATTTCTTCACACTTCCTTTGCAAAAACAGAGGACGAGCTAAAGATTTAGCACTCTTTCCATGGATTCAGACATGACTGTTCCATCCACCTTCCTGAGAAGGCAGACACCACTTCTATTGTGACATTTTCCTATACAACAGTCTACAATGAGGTCTCTCATAAAGACTAATCAGAAACTAAAAATTATTTGTGAATATTTTAGCAGATATGAAAATCACTTAAACCTCATTTTCTAACAGTCTTTTACTTGTATCTTTCAGTAAATAAACAGTAACAGTATTTGTGTTTTGTTTTACAATTTTTCTTATAAATTTAAAAATAGGAAAGATCTCTTAAGGATACTCCTACAATTGCTCTCAGATAAAAGGGCATCTAATCTCTGAGAGAGTAAACTGAATGAGTCTAAGTACCCAACTGTTAAACAAAAACACCCACGGAGTAACAATACATATGCTAAATGTGTTTGTTAAACTTTAATGTGTATCCGACCATCCAGCGATGTTGTTAAAATACAGATTCTCATTCAGCAGGGCTGGAACAGGGCCTGAGACTCTGAGATTCCAACAAACTCTCAGATGTTGCCCACGTTGCTGGCCCACTGACCATATTTTGAGCAGCAAGGCAGAGAAAATCACTATTACTCTGGGAACACAATCAAAATGCCTAAGAAACAAAGATGGTGAAGTGGAGTATGAACAATGAGAAATACCCGACACAATAAATGCTCAACAAGTGCTTACTGAGTTAATGAACAAAGCAAAGAATGCAACATAATATTAAATGTGGAAGCTAAACCATTAACATTTTTTTAGAACTCATCTGGTGCTTAATCAAAAATTAATTGAAATTTTTAACCACAGAGCTGTGCTAATTCCAAGTTGACCATGCATGTAGCCACGGCCCTTGCCCAGTTAATATTCTTGCTGTCTTCGTTGATGTGATCTCTTTGCCGCTTTTCAGAAGAAATGATGAAGACATGAATAAAGAATTAGAGAATAACATCTATCAGTGCTAACTAACTCAATACATTTTGCCACATAATTGGACATATAAAAAAACTGAACATAATTGGACATATGAACAAACAAGAACACAATACAAGGAACAGGCACACAAGCGGAAGGGCAAAAGAATTCTTTTGCAACATACTGCAACTAACTTCAGGTAATATCATAAATACAAGAAAACAGACAATGCCGTATTCAGCAGAGAGGCCACAAGTCAGTCTATGCAAGGAAAGGTAGATAAAAAATAAATTATTGAGGATGGTTTTTATTCATGCTCTTTCCAGCTCTGCACATGGGCAGTAGTGTAAGGAAGAGTCACAAAAACAAAGGTAGGGGTGGGGCGAGAAGACATAAAACAAAAACAATCAACCGGGCAAGTATCTCCAGTTACCTCTGAGGCTGATCAGAATTAAACAAATAAACAATAGAAAAAAGAAAGATTCTATGAGCTATTTACTAAAAGCTCAAACTCATCCTGACAAATCTGCTACACATGCAGCCAAATTCTTCACATTACAAATGACAAATGGGTAACCAGAGGAAAAGAGAAAAAGAAGTCAAGCAGTAAAAAAAACAGGATAAATGTTCAGGAACAACTGTAAGGACACATGGAAAAAAACAAGGGAGGGAACCAAGGGAGGGGCGTGGAAGCAAGGGAGGGAGGTGGGTTTGGCTGGGGTCGGGGGGGACTGGTGGGGGGAGAATGCAGACAACTGCATTTAAGTGAATAATAACAATTTAAAAAACAAGGTAAATGCTTACAAATAGACCTTTCTTCTATAAATAATACTATTTTTCATTCTGGATACAAAATCCAAAGGAAGTATCTGTTTATGGAATGTCAGAAAGAGGTCTTGTGATTTTTTTTAAAAATCAGCACAGCACTGAAGACAAAGTAATGAGCTCCCATCCCATTTCAGTCCTCACCCTCCAAATTCTAGGAATTATACCCCAGCTCGTATCAAAGATACACTTGTTTTAACAGGGTGCATCTGTCGACTTCAGGCAAATCAGATCTTTAAAAACCCGATAGGGAGAAGACTGCAAGTGCTGGATGCTGTCTTTCATCTTTTCTTTTAAGATTTTATTTATCTTTAGAGGGGAAGGGAAGGAGAGAGGGAGAGAAATATCAATGTATGGTTGCTTCTGGTGCACCCCCTGCTGGGAACTGGCCCCTGCTGGGAACTGGCCCCTGCTGGGAACTGGCCTGCAACCCACAAATGTGCCCTGACTGGGAATCGAACCGCGATCAACTGGTTCACAGGCCCACGCTCAATCCACTGAGCTACACCAGCCAGGGCTGTCTTTCATCTTTTTTGCGTCTCTTTCTAACATTAGCACAGTCAGTACTCCATTAA